TGATTTTTTGCACATCTTTGAAATATTTATATTTGAAATATTAGGACACGCACTTGTGCAAAGGTAATATTAAAAGGTTGTAGCAGAAAGTAAGATAAAAGACAAAAATATGAAAATAGTAACAACACAAGAGCGTGTATGCTTCTTACTGGCTAAATGTGACATATGGCATGTACAGGGTGGGCACAGCTCTCCCAGTAACATTAACAGTCTGAGCTGCTTTTTTGAGTCCTCTTGTTACCCAGCGGGAATTCCCCAACACTGACTCCTGATTGGACAGACGGGCTTTACAGATGTTGCAGGAATATGCCCAATGCTTAATACTACAACATCTGGCCCATAAAACCACCTCGTTGTGACCAGACAGTGACAGCAGCACCTCCAGGATCAAGGCCTCGATCTACTTTAGGTTCAGGGTCACTGGTGTTTTCTTCCAGCGTATCATAAAACAACACTTGTTTGTTTGTTTTGTTCATGTTGTCACTGCATGTCAGTTTATACTGACTTTCTTATTAACTCTAAAAGGCTGCTTACGCTGGAGGAAATTTGGTCCTCGCTTTGCTTTGTACTTGCAGTTGCCAAGGAAACCAGTATCTTCCACACTGTCAAAAGTCATTCAATGGTGTCCTCTCACTCATAGTTTAATCAGGAACTCACTTTACATTTGAATCAGCAGTGGCTGAAACTGAAATAAATCTCACATTTGTCATACACTACAAACCATCTAGAGGTAAAAACATTTTCCATCAGCATCATTTTGATAGATGATGGGCATTAGTATGTAAACCATCGGCTGTGACACCTGTGTTTCATTCTGATGTCTGTCCAGCCTGTCAGACTCGTCTTTGGTGAAGGAGACATCCATATCTGTCAGTGTTACTAAGGTCTGACACTGCAGAAGACTTTCTGCAGGGTTCTCATTTTGAAGCAAAATCTAAGCATAAACCTTATCTACATCTTTGTTTCCATAGCAACACAACCCTCCTGTGTCTATAGTTCATAGTTAATTTTGAAAGCAGTTGTGTGATAGTGTAGCTTGTTTTTTATGGACACACAGTGTCGTCCACACCTCTAACTGAGATCTGTTTATCACTGATGGATACAAGCTGAATATGTTCAATATTTAATCCCAGATCTGTGCTTCAGTACCTGACTGCACCCTATACTGCATCACGTTCGCCTGTTAGACTCTATGTGCTGTTGCACGGCAGTTCATTTATGAGCTAACATTAAGCTGCTGGGTCTCTTGTGTTTGTTTTCATTTGTCAACACACTGATGATACCTGATTCTGGTTCTACCTGAGACCAGTTTCGTGGTTTCCACTGTTATCATAGAGG